ATGAGCCACGGGAAAGCTCTCTTTCGAAGACATGGAGAAATAACTGGGTAGAACCTCATTTCTGGGAAGACTTCGGTGTCCCTGCAGGCAGAAGAGGAACCGTGACTCCTCGCGGTGGGCATTAGTCTTTTGCTCACAGCCTTGTCTGTGAGTCGCCTGGAAGGGCAGCGCTGTCTCCCAGAAGCAGCAGCCAGCAAGGGAAGGAAACTGATTTTTGCTTTTGCCTGGACATTTTGCTTTCCTTTTCGACCTGTGTTCCTCAGCACCCTGCCTGCTACACAGCACACAGTTACACGCACGGACACGCAGAGGCACGGAAGCAAATACCCAGTGGCGCCGCAGCTGTGCGTGGAGGGAGGCGGCTTTCTGCCCACAGCTCTGCCCTTCCGCACTGCGGAACGCCCACAGGTCGGCGACAGAGGGGAACAGGGAGGTCCCTGCGCAGCCCGCCTCCTTCCCTCGGCCTCCTTAGGATCGTCCGTCGGTCGGAGGCCTGAGGAAGACAAGTCTGACCGAGAGAACTCTCCCTGCCTGCCTGCTTCCAGTGGGGACAGTGGGGTTCTTCCTGCCTTCAGGTTCAAGTGGACACATCTGGTTTTCCTGCCTCCCCCGACTGGCCTCAAACTACTCGTCAGCTGCCCTGGTTTCCAGGTTTCAGGTGCAACCTGCCGCTAAGTCATCAGCTCCATCGCGCTGACTGGCCCTGCCTGTGGTCTGGGACTGGCTGGCTCCCGAACTGCACCCTTGAATTCCTTCCAATAAATCTCTTTCCAATTGGTTGACTTCGCAATAGCAGCCATTCTTTCTGGAGTGAGGTGGAATCTCAGTGTGTTTTCATCTGCATCTCTCTAACGACCAGTGATGTTGAACATTTTTTCATATTTTTATTTACTGTTTCTACTTCTTCGTCTGAGAAATGTTTGTTCATTTCAGATGCCCATTTTTGGATTGGGTCTTAAATTTGGGGGCTCTGATTTTTTTGAGTGCTTTATATGTTATAGATGTTAGTCTTTTGTCTGCGGAACTGCTGGCAAAAATTTTTCCACACTGTGGGTTGTCTCTTCACTCTTTAGTGATTTCTTTTTTCTGTGCAAAAGCTTTTTAAGAAGATGAGATTCCATTTGTTGATTCATTGTATTATTTCCAGTGTGATCAGGGGTTTGTTCATAAAGTCTTTGCCTACATCTATATCTTCAAGAGTTCTACCTATTCTCTCTTCCAGTAGATTTCTGTCTTAATACGTAGGTCTTTGATCCATTTTTACTTTAGTTTAGTGCATGGTGAGAGAGGTACAGTTTTAGTCTTTGGCATGTAGAAGGCCAGTTTTTCCAGCACCATTTATTAAAGAGGCTATCTTTCCTCCAGTGAGGGTGTTTGGCTCCTTTGTCAAAGATGAGGTGGCTGAGTGTCTGGAGTTGTTTCTGCATCTTCTAATCTGTTCCACTTATCCTCAGGTCTGTTTCTTTGCCAGTACCATGCTGTTTTTATCACAGTGGCTTTGTAGTATAGTTTCAAGTTGGGGATTGTGATGCCCCCATCATGTCTCTGTTGCCTAGAATTGCTTTTGGTATTCTAGGTCTCTTCTGGTTCCAAAAGAATTTTAAAATTATTTTCTCTCATTCTTTGAGGGATGCTGTAGGTATTTTCATTGGGATTGCATTAAATTTGTATAACAATCTTGGGAGTATGGCCATTTTCACTGTACTGGTTCTTCGTATCCAAGAACAAGGGATGTCTTCCCATGTTCTGACATCCTCTTCAATTTCTTTTATCAGAGTGCTGTAGTTTTCATTGTAAAGGTCTTTTACTTCTTTCATTAATTGATTCCTATGTGTTTCTTTTTTTTTTTCTATGCTATTGTGAAAGAGTTTGTTTCCCTACTTTCTCTCTCAGTGAGTTTGTTATTTGTGTACAGGAAGGCTATTGATTTTTGAGTTTTGACATTGTAATCAGCTAAGTGGCTGAAATTAGTTATTAAATCTAGAAGGTTTTTTGTGGAGTTTTTGGAGCTTTCTATGTAGAATATCATGTCATCCATAAATAATGATAATTTAACTTCTTCCTTTCCTATCTTTATTCCTTTCATTTCTTTCTCTTTTCTAATTGCTCTGGCTAATGTTTCCAGGACTATATTGAATAAGAGTGGTGATAGGGGACATTCTTGTCTTGTTCCTGATTTTAGAGCGAAAGTTTTCAGTTTTTAACAGTTTAGTGTGATGCTGACAAATGCTGGTGGGGCTGTGGGGAAAAAGGAACCCTCCACTGTTGATGGGAGTGTAGACTGGTGCAACCACTGTGGAAATCAGTGTGGATATTCCTCAAAAAACTAAATCTAGAGGTTCCATTTAACCCAGCTATTCCTCTATTGGTATTTTCCCAAAAGAATTAAAAGCATCATACCACAGCTATCCGTGCACACCCATGTTTATAGCAGCACAATTTGTTCTAGCTAAATATTGGAAACAGCCCAAGTGCCCATAAAGAGATGAATGGATAAAGAAGATGTGTTTTTTATATAATGGAGCACTACTCAGCCATAAAGAAGGATACACTTGAAACATTTCTAGGTAAATGGATGCACCTTGGGACCATACTCTTAAGTGAAATAAATCGGACACACATGTGTAAATATCATATTGTTTCTCTAGTGTAAGAAACCAAAAGTGTAAATTGAGGACCAAAATATATAATAGATATTGGGAAATGGGAAGAAAATGTTCAAATGGGAAGGGGAACAGGGAGGGGAGAGGAGGAAAAGAAGGAAGAGAAAAGGATAAAAGACAATAGAAGGAAAGAATAAAAACAAAGCTTTTGTAAATAAGGGGTGGAAGAGGGGTTGAAGGGAAGGGAAACGGGGGGAAGAAGAATCAAGACATATCATTTACAGGTACAAATTCCCTGTGATGAACGTGATCATTATGTACATCTTAAATGTACCAATTAAATAAGAAAGAGATGCAAGGAGGGGAAGGGATGAAAAAGAAATGAGTTATGGACATGCACCAACAGGACACAAGGAAGATAGGCATCATACACTATAAACAGAGACTAGTAAAACAAACAAACAAACAAAATAAATAATAAACCTCTGTATATAAGCATCTCACTGGCTCTTTTTCTGGAGAATTTTAACGTAGACACTCATCTTCAATATATTTTCAGTTGAAACTTGACTGTCAATTGTATAAGAATTTATAGATTAGAGTTGTACATTAATTCAACAAATAATCTGTTGAATATGGGATCCAGACCTGATATACTGACCTTGAATCCTTCACGAGCATTCTGATGTGTAGCAGTTAGTAGGCATTTAACAGATACATGTCCAATGAGTGAATCCAGAAATTCCATCAGCTTTCTTGTGAAAAAAATTAATTTCTCTCAGAGCAGCAGCATTTCCCTCCCCTCCGAGTGTGAGAAAGTGAAGGTTATGGCTTCCTGCAAAGACAGCGCTTATCATTTTGTTGCTAGGATACCTCTTGGTCTGATGCATATTGTCATTCTAGGCCAAAGGACAAAGAGACTCCAAGTGTGGTTAACTTGAAGAGGTTTAGTGGGGGTGCTACTGTTTAGTCAACACGTGAAATCAGGAAGTGTTAGTTTAATTCACTCCATTACGATTTGTGGTAATTTGACGGCATGGACACCCACATTTATAGGTCATATGTGAGATCCTCAGAGTGGTTTATTTGGCAAGTTTGCAGCAAGGGCAGAGGGTAGTGGTCAGTGAGGCCCCAGTCCCGGCAGCTCCTCCAACCAGAGGTGCAGTTAGGAACACACAGGCCCCGGGAGCCACCACAGCCTCTGTCCAGAGCCCGCGCGCCCACCCGCCCAGCAGCCCCAGCACCGGCTCCCTGGCCAGGGCCTCAGCTTGGCCTGCCTGGGTGTCTGCAGCCCCCACTCAGCCATGGGGGCCTCTTGTCCACATGGGGTCTGGAGACGTCACGTCGGCTCCCGCATCTTCACCTCGCTGGCCCTTCATTGTTTCTTCCTTTACATTCCACTTCCAGTGTCTTCCCCGGCTTTTTGATTTCTTTCCGCACATATAAAGACTCAGTTTCTTTTCCATTTCCCTGCTTATTTTCTTCATAAAACTTTGCCCGCAAAATGTATTTTCTTTTTGCTTTGCTTTGCTCCTTCCTGCTATATCTGTGATAGGTGATACTGGGAATTCTATGGCAAGGAAAGCCTGTTTATGCTGCTGCCTCTTGAGCTTTGCAGTTCCAAGTGGCTGTTACATAGGAGATGAACAGTCTATGTTCACCAAGATGACTGATTATGATCCAGTAATATGAAAATTCATTTCCTGAGAATCAGAATGTCATATTTTAATCTGAAAATATGGACAAGAATTAAATAAAAACTAAAATTTGAGCTATACTAAGTGTCTTCTAAGTTGAAAATTGCTATTATTTAGATTTGTTTGTTAAATTTGTATGGGATTTCTTAATGTTCAAATTGGAAGTTTTGCATGTGTACAATGTAAGGATCAGTTTTGAATGAAAAGTATGTGCTTCTTAAATTAAAAAATGACAAATTGGGGACTGTCTCTAATATTTAATATTAGTTGAATGGAATAATATCAGTTATATGAAACCTTAATATTTGGTGCTTTGCTATCATGAGAATGAGGTTACCAACATAAGGATAAGTGTCATCTGATAAGAAAATATAAAACTTCATGGCAGAGATCAGCACAAAAATATAAACTATTGTAATCCACTGAATTTCATGATTTCTCTGGTTTTTAGGAAGCCCAACAGCTTATATTTACTTGACATTGTAAATAAAATATATACAAGATAATGTAATATTCTTTAAGTATATTGATTATGTAGTCTACTTTCATAGCACATTTCCACTGATGCACGAGTTTCATCTCGTGAGAACACTCATTATTCTCCTTTTGAGTGGATTGGCTGTTTTAGTGACAGAAAGCACAGTCTCGTGCGTGGTGCTGGCTGGGCTGTCAGTGCTTCACGGCCATGGGCGAGCCCCACCGAGGGGAGCCTGGGTGCAGCTCAAGTGAATTCGAGGAAAGGATTTAGTGCGAATGAACACGTGAGGCATTGTCACAGCTGCCTCGATGTCCCGAACTGATTCAAAATGTTCATTCTTCATGGTCACTCTGCCTTCCGGAGAGAGCTAGAAATTGTGCAGTGCCAGATCTGGGGAGTAAGCCAGAGGACACATAACAGTTTTCTAAGTCTGCCTTTCCACTGGATGACTCACAGCAGCAGCATTCACTGTATTTTTTATCACAATTTGTAAAGACACTCACAAAAGAGAACTTCCAGAACTGCTTCAGAAAATGGCAAGAATGATGGGATAGTGTGTTGTGGGCCAGAGGGGAGTGTTTTCAGGGAGATTATGGCAACGTGTCTGTTACTGCAATACATTAAAAAATTTAAGCATTCACTGCATTTTTCAATCGCCCCTTGTATGGGTGAAGCTGTTGATTCCTTCAATACAAGAAGCCTGTTGCTATTCCTCTGTATTATAACAGGATAATCTTTATTACTTTGCATGCAATTCATGGCTATTAACCTATGTCTCTTCCAAAGAGGGGAAGAATTGCAGCAGTAATGTCGTTTCTAAGGCACCTGTGTGCTGCAAAAAAGCTATGCCTGCCATGTTTGTGCTATTAAGATGCTAGCGTTTTTATTAATGTGGATCAGCGCTTCTCTTTAAATTTCCCTCTGTAATTTTCAACACCATGAAGGCAGAGACCATCGCTTGGATACAAGTTATCCGCTGCCCATCTTGGAAAAGTTTGTGAAAAGTGTGCATCGGTACTTGTTGCCAACTGCCCCACATGTTGCTTGAATGAATCCTGTCTTTGTTTTCAGCTAATAATCTTTCTTGGAGAAGCAGTGCGAGTTGCTGTTTAGAACCAACCGTTCTGTCAGGAAAGCATGAAGAAAACTAACCTTCTCCGAGAGCGGAGTGATATGTAGTTGCTGGGAGTCCACATCTACTGTCTCATTTAATCCTTACAATTAGTTGTGTCCTGCCCTTTTTATTCAGCTACTGAAGCTGAAGGAAGTGACGCTATCAGAGTTGCATGGCCCACGAAGGAGGGCGAGGGGATACAATTTAGGTAAATACAGTAACGCTTGAGCCCACACTTGCTGGACTCCCACTGCACTGCTCCAGGTGAGGGTGTGCGGGTGTAATCCTCCTGCAACTGCCTCAGTCCCTGCTTTGTTTTGCACTTCTAATCTAGCATGAAATTCACCCGCTAGTTACGGGGTTCCTTAATCCCATGTCAAAGATGAACGGTGATTCTTTGTCACTGCAAGCAGTAACTCCTTACTAAGAATAAAACTAACGGGGGCCGTCTGCCTACCCTGAATTTCCTTTGTTTGGGATGCGCGTGGTTGCCATGGAGGCCCCCACGCGTGAGCGCTTCATCACCAGCGCTGCGGTCTGGAGGGCTGCGGGAAGTGAGGACCCTGTCTGTTCCGGAAGTGAGGGTCCTGTCGTCTGCTCCGTGGCTGTGGCTCGCGGCCTCCCGGACGCCTTCCGTCCTGACACCTCTCAGTGGGAGCGACGCCTCCTGTTTGTGTGCCTCTGTCGGGTTTCTGAGGTCGCGTTTCCACTTCCACTGTAGGCAGTGAGCGGAGGGAGGAGGACGGGGCACGGCGCGGGAGGGCACGGGGAATGGGCTCTAACTTTGATCTTTAACCTGCAGATTTGGAGGAACTACCCCCAAGGCAAGTGCTGACTGGAAGTTTATTCACATTTTTCCGCCTTAAGAAATCCAAGATGCTGAAAACAAAGGTTAAGTTTTCTGATATTTTAGCGACACCTTTAGCTGCCTTAAATTTGATAATTGCTCAGTTTTGAAAATGGATCTTTAACGCTGTGCTCGGTGTTTGATTAAATCTCACTAGTACACTCAGTGCTTGCCTACGTCTGAGTCACTCACTGGCTCTGTCATTAGAGCTTGGGCTCACTTGTGTCAAGTGTCTCCTGTACACCCAGTACTCCAATGTCTTCATCCCGGGAGTCAGTCAGGGACAGTCCTCTTCAACCACAGAGAGTCAGAGTTTCATGTCTTAAGACTTTCTGTGCTCTTAGTCTTAACTTTATGTCCATTTAGAACTTCTTTCTAATGGCATATGTGGAACAATTTAAATGACCTGGGACTCATTCCCACCAAGGAGAAGGTGGTTCCAGAGCAGTGGGCAAAGCACCAGTGGCTCATCCACGTAGACAAATATCTCTGAGTTGAAAAGGAAAAACCGAATCAAACAGAAGAAGGGAGCTACAGACTCTATTAGTAATGTGTTAGGATGGAGAGGTTTAGTTCAAGTACTTTCTATACTTGAGACCAATAAAAGGGGTGAACTGAGAAGTAATAAAATCCTGGAGAATACTTGGACGTTTTTAAGTCCCAACTTTCGAAGACAGATTTCTAACATTCCTCAGAGGTCTCACATTTTAATCTGAACTTTCAGGATTGGGCCTCTGGCTTCTAACTGAAGACCAACTGAGGGGGCTTATTGGACAGATGATCAACCAATCTCTATTTTTGTGAAGTTTTCACTTTGTTTCTTATAATAAAGATCAGTACTCTTTCTTTTGCTTTCAACTCTATATTTACCAAGTAAAAGAACAAATGCTTTATAAATGCCAGTGGACAAGGAAATATCTAAATTATCCCACAGACTGCCTTATTGACAAAAATGGTGGTTTTCTGAATGAAGTTTTCTGTTAGAATGCCATAAAAAAATGAGGCAACTCAAAACATTTAACTACTAGATATTGTATAAATGTCTGAATATGAAAAATGAAAGGTGATTTAAGGTTTCCAATGAATAATACATAACAGTATAGTGTGTATCAAGTTAAACTTAGGAACACTGCAGTGTAAGTTTTAGATTTCCATTTCACCACAGTAAGTCCAGGCTTCGATATATAGCCAAAAGAGAATACAATGTTACAGAGACATTATTCAAATTTCCTTGGTTGCCCCTGTGGCCAAGTGAAGGGCCCCTTGCTGAGCTGTGCGGAAGGTGGCAGTTGGACATTCAGACACTCCAGCCTCATTGGCTGGTTCTGAAAGGGAACGGAGACTTCGGGTTGGTTGGTGAATGCAGAAAGCTGACTGGACAAAAGCTGCTTAAAAGCACCTACTCTAAATTCCCAGCACCCATTAAAGTGACCCAGTGAGCAAGGTGATTCCATTAGCTTCAGCACCTGTTTACTCTTTTGAGGTGAAAGGATACATGTAATCTCCCTGATTCATTTTCAAATGAAATATATCAACTTCTTTTTGGTATTCCTATGAGCCTTCCCTTACAAGCAGTATATCCATCCTACGGAGTGGTTATTTGAAAAGCTCAGTGGGTAAAAGCTCTTTGAACTGTGTTTTGCTTTCTAGTTGGATGAAACCATCTGAAAGTCTATCCTCCATTTTCTTTCAATGACAATAACTCAGTTTGACAGTCTGAACCCAGAGAACTATACATCACAATGTGAGCTAGAGTCGGCCAGACATTTAAATGCTTTACCAGCCCTGAACTTACAAGATGATTTTTTTACTTCTATTTTGTTTGTAGTCTGTTCTTCAAGGTAAGTTCCCATGGAAAGTGGCTGCTTTTGTTCTATATGGAATTCAGTTCTATTTATCAGACAGACAACATATTTCTTTCTCATTTGTTACATTGCAAAAACAGTTTAGGAGCCCCAAAAGTAACCATGCATTCTTTTTCTTTTGATATTCATTCATTTTTAAATTAGTATCAAACAAGATGCCTACCACAGACATCAAAATCAGATACTTGATACATAAATATAAATTATGCACATAAAAGTGGGTGGAATTTTGTCTATGGAATAGAAAATACTAAGACTTGCTTGGTATGAGTCTAAATGAAAGATACTCTTTTTCCATGATTAATCTTGATGTTTCTAAAACTGCTCTGATGTAAAATCCATCACTATTAGACATTATTCATACCATGAATATAAATCCGAGAATTTGATTATGTATCGACAACTTCATTTAACTTGCTGGAAAGGAGTTGCAGTCAGAACATGGAGTATATATTCCTGTTTTCTCCTCTGCTCTAATTACTTCCTGGCTTTCTCAGGCTTCTTTCCCAAATTGAACAAAGGCTATAACCTGATAAGACTACCTTGGTCTCTCCATTTTTCATGCCAAATGTTTGAGAGTTTATTAGTGAACTGGATTGGCTCAGCAATGGGGGCTTTGTTATAACTAGCATTTAACTGAAGCAGTTGTGTATAAGCAAAACCCTTCACTTCACTGCTTAAAACCTTCTTTGCATCTTAATGGGCGAGAGGAATTTCCCGAAGAGCAGTTACATTTTCATCACAGCCATCAAGAGGTAAGAACAAGAACCGGAGGGCCCAGAGGAAAGGAGATTGTCACAGAACATGAAGCTAAGAGAATGTGACACCTGGAAAGATAGCTCAGAATGTGATATGTGGAAATGAGCCTGAGAGAGGAAGTAGCCAAGATACCACAAACATTCCAATGGTTTGCCTCTTCTCTTAGAATCAGATTCAAACTATTTTCTTGAACATACAAAGCCCACACCAATGATTTTCCCTTTTGCTTGAATGTCTGAACCTGACGCCTGAAGTTCAGAATTCAGTGCCTGAACTTCATCCCTGGAGGCTGTGATCTCTTTCAACCCCAGGGAATGAATCCTCTACTAGCGTCAGATCCACCACTTAATGATCAGAGTGATCTAGCCACTGCCTCCCTTCCAGACCCAATTTCCCGGTCACATTCCCTTCTGTTCATTGGGCCCAGCTGGCTGCTCCCTGCCCTCCCCCTGCCCAGGGACTGTGGTTTCCCCAAAGCATAATTTCTCCGAGGGTAACTTGCTGGTCTCCGTGCCTGGGCTAGGCTTTCTGAGCACTCACAATTTTGCTGCTGACTCCATGTAGCTCATACCTTGTGAGATGTCTTAGCCCATGGTATGCTGCCCCACAAACCTATGAGTTCTCCTCCTTTAGCTGAGGAATCTGAGGCACCAGACTGGATGTGAGGTGCATGCATGAAGCGGAGCTGGGCTTCGAATTGATGTCTCCCTTCCTGAGAGTCCAGAAGCTCTACGCTGTCCAGCTGCCTCTCTTCTTCTCCTTCAGATCATTTAAGCCTGCATCGAAATATCATTTTAGAGAAGCTTTGTGTGGCCATCCCATCTAAAGCCTCCTCCAGTACACTCTTATTACGATCTATTGGTCCTTTATGCTGCAGTCATAATACTCATTTATGTATTTACAGATACATGAAGGTTTTCCTCTCGTTCAAGGTAAATTCCATATAGGTTGACAATATCTACTTATTCACCACTGTGTCCTTGTCACCATAAAAAAGTTACATAAAAGACTTGATAAATCTGAATTAAAGATTTCTCATGTAAGAATCATTCAAGGGGAAATGAGATTGCTTCAGACATTGTTCTGATGTGTGTCTGCCAAGTGATTTCAGGATTTGAAATGCCATGGGCGTGCCAAGCCTGAGGAAGGTTTGGTTTTATGGACCAAGCCCACTATTGAGCATCCCTGGCCAGAGGCTTCATGATGGATGCTGAGCTGCTTCCTTTGTGCTGTGTTTCCTGGCGATCAGTACTTATACCATGCGGGGTTTTCTTCTTCAGCAGAACCTGGCTGCCGCCCCTCCCCACAAGAGGAGTCCTGAGAGCATCACCCTTTGAGATGGCCCGATCGCCTTGCTGGAAGGGTTTGGGTCCTGACAGCTCTGGTCCAGCAGCCCCGAGTGAAGGCCTCTGGCAAATCTTCCTGCTCTTCAAAGTCCAAACAAGAAGATCACTCCTCCACCACCTTTCACACAGACAGGTAGGGAAGCAATTCTTGCCACTGTCACTCCAACTTGGGACAGTGAGCTTGGCTGTCCTCGTGAGCCAGGATGCAGGGTGTGAGCCAAAATCTTGGCAGGAGCATCCAGTTGTGCCAGTTGCTAGCCATGTGGTCCTGTGTTGGTTGGCTAATCTCTCTGTGTTCATGTTCTTTCTTTGTAAAGTGGGTAATAATAATGCCCATTTCATAGACTATTTGCAGGGAAAATGACTTCATATATATCAAATTTCCTATATTTGTGAAAATAAAAAGAACAGGAGGTTGCCTCCTAGGTCTGTTTCAAGGATTATATGATTCAAACCATGCCTGAAACACTTGAATGGCATAGAGATAGTGTTAAGAAGGGTTAGTCAGAAGGGAAATTAGAGGGCTGGAGGCAGAGCGAGGACCACTCATGGCAGCTTAGAGCATGGCCCAGATTGTGTGAATGTGGAGCCATCTCAGCTTGAAATTCCTATATTCAAATATTGTCCTAATTTGAGTCATTCAAGCCAGACTTTTCTGTGTCCTCCAGTGACAGTCACCTTAACTGACATGCTGCACATGACGGTGGGAGTCAGGGGCTGACTCCCCTCATAGCCAAGGCTTCAGGCCATGGACTTCTTCCTGTATGGCAGTTTGGTTTAGAGTCTGTTTAGGATTAGGGAAGAACCTCTATTCATACTGAACATTTAGCTTTCGCAAGAGAGGAGGTGACCATCTTGATGTTCTCAACTTTAACCGCTAACAGAGCCAACATCAACAGCAGGGTAAGGCTCTGCATACTGTTAACTGTCCTACCATCCTGTAGGATTTACAAAATCTTTATCTTAGGCTAAAGCAACAGGAAAAGCTTAGGCATTTTGTTTTCTTCTAAATCTAGCTTCTATGATTAAAATTCTAAAGTCCAGAACATTCAATGTTTAATTATCTACCAAGTACTGAATCTCATTCAAGCAAAACCTTTGTGATTGATGGGTCCAGCTGTGACCGTTGTGCAGCCCAGATTTTCCTTTGGCTCTCAGAAGTCAGCTGTGCAGCTGTCATCTGGAACTTTAGAACGCACCAGAATTAAAATGCCAGAGCTATTTTACAGGCTCGTCTGTGTCCACTGGAGAGATGGCGTTCTTCAGGGGGACTTCAATACAATTTGTTACATATTTGAGGGATGCTGTAATCAGTCATCATTTTTCGTTTCTCTTAAATTCCTGGATTAGTTTGATTGAGCAGTTTAGAAGGGGCTTGTCTCAGGAGACCCTTTTCCCCTTGCAGAATATTATTCAATGAAGTCCCATTTTGCCCCTGCCTACCTAGTGCTGCTCATGAGATCTAAAACTTTGCAATGGGATTCCTGTTTTGTCCATTCCCACAGTATGTGAAAATTATTAGGACGATATGGGAGGAAGGGTCAGTTCAGAGTCTTGCTCACCAGGGCAGCCTTGGTCATGGAAGAGATGAAAGATCTGCATGCAGAAGGCTCTGTTTCTGTTTGAGTCTGGGGAGGAAAGAAGTTGGAACAGCAGGCTGCAGCTTTTGAGTCACCCCTGTGTTTCCTCACTGTACAGGGAAGGATAGGATGGTAATTTCCACAGCAATTAAGTGACAGGAAGGGTCTGGAGTTTGCAAATAGCTAATGAATGACAACTTTTTTGCATAACTTGACTTTAAATGATGTGCACACCCTTTTGTTTCTTGTACAGAGGTGTGCCTGTCCTAGGTCTGTAGAAATAAAGACAACTTAAATGTAGGTGTGGGTCTTGATGTCAGACCCTGAGGAAATGGATTGCTTGTTTGTTTCCAAGGTCACTTTTCCCAGGGGGAAGGAAAGGAGAGAACCATGGTCATTTAACTGGAAGGGCCTGCATTGTACAAGGTGAAGAAATTTCTTTCTGGCTCTTTCTTTGTGGAGTCCATAAACATTAATAATGTGGTCTGCTATATAAAAACGTGGCTTTCCTTTATTAAAAAATTTAAAGATATTTCTACTTAAACTCAAAGGGAGACTAAAGCCATATAACAGTTTAGCATGGGAATTTTTTTTTTGGTACCGGGGATCGAACTTGGATCCTTCTGCTTGCAAGGCAGGCGGCAGAACCACTGAGCTAAATCCCTGGCCCCCTAGCGTGGCAATATTTTTTGAAGTTGACCACATAGAATCTCAGCAAATGCTTGTTTCTCTTTTTAGCAATATTGAGAAAGAGCAGAATTCACTGTAGATATGTAGAAAGCTTGGTAACATATTTATTATAGTGCACATTAAGACTTTTCATTTGGAGACGATTCTGATGGAATAGAAAATGCTTAGAGCTGAGAGAGTTATTTATCAACATAAAATATCTTGACCTTTGCTGTTTTAGCTGAACTGAATTTTCAGCATGTGGCTTCCTTCTGATCAATTGTGTCTCTATTTCCTACTTAGAGCTCAGCCACTGATGCTTTCAATTCTTTTTATTCAGAGAAAAATGTTCTTGTTTGTGTTATTTTGGGGCTCTAAAGGTCAAAGGTTTGATTTTCTTCCCTAGTCATTGTTCCTAGGAGCCCAAGCCCACACTGTGCAGCTGAGGCTGGTCTCATGAGAAGTTCTGACTGGAGGAAAGAAGAAATGAAATGAACCAGCCATCCAGTTAGAAATCAAGAGGACGTGCAGCTAAGTCTGCTGGGGTCTCCAATTTTGGTATCCTAGTAATTATTGCAAGAAGAAGTGAATTAAGTAGATTTTCAAAAAGTGTTTTTGTCTTTTCTTTGAATTTCAGGATGCATGATTAGAGGATGGGAAGAGGTCATGAATCTAGTTGAAAAGCCATAAAGGTTAAAAATATTCATCCATAGTTAAAAAATAGTCATCCATGCTATGCTTAACCATTGCAGTATTAGGATTCTTCTTACCAAACTAAAGGAAAACCATAAGGAATTTTTTTTTTTTTAAACAAAGAAGCACTCATCTGTTTCACCATCAAAGAGGCTTGTATTTAATGCATGAAAATGTTCTCTGAGAAAGTCAGTTTTTGATTCTTGTGGCTGAGTTTTTTCAGCCACAAGAGTTTCTTTTTTTTCAGTTTTTCTTCTTTTTTTTCAGTTTCTTTTTTTCTTTTCTTTTTTTTAGCCACCAAGTTTCTTGGTGATAAAAAATTTTACCTAAGGGCTGGGGATTTAGCTTAGTGGTTTCACTGCCTGTTGTGCAAGCACAAGGCCTCAAGTTTGATCCCCAGTACTAAAAAAAAAAAAAAAATTTACGTAAGTTTTTATGTATTTAAATGATAAATTTGTGCTATATTTACTTGCATATGTTTATAATATCATTAAAAATGTACTGAATACTGTATAAAAGTTTGTCTTTCTACTTTCACTTAGTTGGGGATAGGTACCAAAAAATTGAAAATATAAAGAAGTTCAGACATCTATGTGGTACAGTACTTTCCAGTGGGATCTCCAAAAGAAAAGATATAGGAGTCTACGACCATACCACCCTGAAATCACCCAATCTCATCTGATCTCAGAAGCTAAGCAGGGTTGGGCCTGGTTGGTACTTGGATGGGAGAAAAGATATATGAAAATAGAAAAGAAATGAAATTAAAATGAATTATAAAGACTTTTTCATCATTCTGGAGGCTGATTAAAGAAGAAACTTAAGTCCTAAATGGTACATAAGAGTGACATATTATAAGAAAAGTGTAGAACAGGGAAAGATAAAGATAAAGATATTAAAAGAAAGAGTAATAAACTATAAATTAACTGAAAAGAATCACAAGAAGTTGCAGCAAATTCCACATTAATAAAAACTAATTAAAAAGTTTACTTTGAAGGTATTGAGAGAAAATGATTATCAACCTAAAATATCTCTTGATAGTGGGAATAAAATAAAAATGTTTAACACAAAGGTGAGTTTTGTCACTGGTAGACTTTTGCTGAATGAAGCAATAAAGGATGATATTTATTAAGAAAAACTGGGCTCACAAAAGAGTTATAGTTAACAAATGAAGAAGAAATGAAAAAAAAGGAAGGAGGAGGGAGATGTAGGTGGGCATAAAATAATTATTTTATGATTTTTAATAATTATAATGAAGACAGATCTTGAATAGAAAGAGAAACTAAAGTAGTAGGCAAAAATTATAATGAAAAATGAGTCAAAACATTTTAAGTTCCTTGTACTACTGAGAATATTAGTTGTTGTATCGATTATTGTACATCTTTACTAAGTCAAATATTCACAACAAAAATTTAAGAAAAATCAATAAAAGAAAAGGATTTCATACACACAGAGAAGATGCTGTATATCTAGTGGTATTCTTTGAAATGCACTACAAAAAAAAAGCATATATAGAGATAAAAATGACTAAGATACAATGAAAATTTAGGAAGTCTAACAAAACACTAAGGTTCTTGAGGAAGAAAATAACAGATGTTTGAAGACATACTGAGAGTGTACTAGAGGTGATAAAAGAATGCAATCTACAGATTCAACAAGTCAGGAATGCATGTCTACATTGTGTAAGGCCATGTTATTATTCCCAAATATGTATTTCTCCTTTTAATAGGGAAAATATTTGTGCAATCAATGGCTATTGAGCTTGGTGGTGAACTTTGCTTTTTGTTAATGAAATGGAAATAGTGGTGGAAGATGTCTTTTCTAAGCAGAATCCCTAGAAAGTAGCATTTTTTTTTTTTTATACTTTCTCTACTGGCATGATTACTGGGAATGCCCTAAATAAACACTCATCTATTATCCTTGACCTTTTTCTTATGAAAAATTGGAATTTAATATCTAAGATTTAGCAAAGAGGTGTTCTAATTAAGAGACTGAGATTCTTTTAATGTTGTGCTATCTTCTTGGCGTATTTGAATGTGCATCATTATATTTAGTTATTTGTGAAGAATTTATGAAAACAGGTGAAGATACATGTATCTTCACTTTTTGGTTGGATTGGCTCTGATTTTAGCAGAAGCCCCCACAAGGTAGGAAATGCACTCAGATGCCTTTTTCAGAGCAGGCCAAAAGCTGATGGACCATGAAACATTGCCCCTTGTGCTGGTGGTCAGCAAATTCAAGAGGAACCCGAGCTGAGACTCACTGCCATAGATTGTTGATTCAAGGAATATCTAGTTCTTTAGGGTTAACTAATAGTGTTAGTTATTTTTGCAATAGGGATAGATATGTATTGGGTGCCTCATTTAAAAAAAAATTGTTTTTGTAGACTCTAAGTCTTGAACACCAAAAAAATTACTACAGCAAAAAACAAACAATAACAATAAAAATCCCAACCCAAACCAAACCAAAATAGAACAAAACTAAAAGCAAATAGTGGAAGATCACTCCAAGAGGCCTGGACAAAGTCATCTGGAGTGATTGAATGCAACGGGAAAGTGTTATGTATTTTGTGTAGTGAAAGTGTTGTGTGTCACAGATCAAGTATCAGATGGCACTTTGACTCCAACCACAAAAGTATTGCCGAATTTGGTGAAACTGAAAGAAAAGAGTTTTTTGAAGGGAAATTGAGGAAATGTCATTCCACTCTCTTAGTTTTTGCAGCTATTTTTCTAAAACAAATAATCTGACAGCTGCCACCTTTCAGGTTTCACTCTTCACAGCAAAACATGGTAAGCCCCTCTCTGATGGGGATTTTATCAAAATGGCCATGCTGTCTGGTAGTAATTCCCTTATCCAAGATTTCCCAAACAAGGATAAAATTATGAGACGTCACTTAGCCGAAATACTTTTAAAGATCGAGTCCTGCATGTGGTAAGCGATGCTAGTCAGCACTCATCACTGACTTACAGAAGGCAGCCTGGTACTCCATGTGCTTGGGTGAAAGCACAGATATAAATAATCATGCGAGGCTAGCAGTGTTTTTGCGCTATGCTGTTGGTGACATCATGAGAGAAGAGCTGGTGAAACTGGTGTCCTTGCCTGGAAGAACACAAAGGACAGACGTCTACAGTGCTGTGACGCAGGCTTTCTTGTCACAAGACATAAGACCAGAAAAAGTGGTTTCAATTACTAGTGATCGGCACTTGCATGGTGGGGCAACATCTGGTTTCATACAGTTCTTTGTTAAAGAGGCAAAACATCCAGTCACTAAGTTTCCTTGTATTGAACATCAAGAAGCTCTTTTCAGGAAAGCAACAAAAAATTAGATGATATTCTCAAAGATATCACCAAAATGGTGCATTAAATGATGGCTTGTACTCTTAATTTTCCAGTTTCAAGAACTCCTTGACAAGGGTCAGGCACAGTATAATGCTTTACTTATGTACAATATTGTCTGATGGCTGAGCAGAGGGAGTCCTGGAGAGATCTATAGCCTGCTTGGATGAAATTAGGGTGTTCATGAATGAAGAAGGACAGGAATATCCACAGCTCACAGATATGTCCTGCCTTAACAACCTCATGTTTTTTTTACAGATTTTATACTACACTTCAGTGTACTGAACAAAAAACTACGAGTTGTAGGGGAAAACTGCAGAAAGGATGTTTTGTGACATCAAAACATTTGAGAGAAAACTGCAAGTTTTTGGAAGAGATTTTGAAAGTGGGCAGCTGAAATATTTTCCAAATCTAAAAATGCATTGAGAAAATTCTACAATATTTGCAAACAACCCTAGAAGCCATCAGGAAATCTACAAGGAATGTTCTAGCATTATAGCAGGTGCAAAGGAGAATTTTAATAAAAGATATTTACAGGTCTGTGAGATGGAGAAAACCCTGTGTTTTCTTGCTTCTCCAGATTTGAAGAACTTGATCTTTCCTGCTAACATTGGTGAGATTTTGGAAATCTGGGAATGGAGCTGTTTGAATATCAAGAAAGCTCTATCTGGAAAATATATGTTCTATGTGCAACACTTGAGAAGATGGAGTGTGACAGGAAGACAAAGGACTGCAGTTGGTAGTTCTGAAAATGAAACCCTTAACATGTGGAATTCTGAGCTGAACAACTTTAAGTCAATGAAAACACTTGGGATTGCTTTTCTCACTTTGTTTGCATCATCTTGTGCTTGTGAGAAGCTGTTTTCAGCTTTGAATTATATCAAATCTGATACAAGAAACAGACTGACAGACAACCTGAATGCTCCTTGTGTTGCTCTCAAACTAAGAAGTTTGAGCAAGGTATGACAAATTATTAGTGTGCACACAACAGCGACTATCACACTAACTGCAAAAGCACGCTGAATGCAAACTGTTACCTTTCAGTAAAAAGCTGTGTGGATCACTGAAAGCTGTTATTGTGTTTTTCCTTTAAGACAAAAGATGTTAATGTATACTAATGTACACTAAAACCTCAGTATTCAAGTTTAATTGCAGTGTTGCTCTTTGCAATAAATAAGTGGGTTCTGGGCTGTAGTTTGGACACTTGGCCTATAAAGGGTTTGCCATCACTGGCCTATGCTGTATTTGACACCCTATAGAGGACCCAACAGGAGATGGCCCAGGCTCTTTCCCACGGCAAGACCCAGTTGCAGGAATAACAGTCCTGCATAAAGTCTGCCTTACTGTGATTTAACATGGATCATTTTCAACACCACCATGCATGAACTCATGACATTCTCCACACACAGGTACCTGTTGCCATGAGACTGAAAACTGACCTTGGAAATGTTATACAATAAGAGAGGCTTATTTAAATTCTGTATTTGCTACACTTGGGTGTATGACCTGCGAAGTCTCCTGTGTTAAAGCCCTGGTACCCGGCATGGTGGCATGGAGAGGGGGCTGACCTCATTGCAGGGTGTAACTTCTAGGAAGTCTTTGGCCACTGGCAGTGTGCCTTTAAAAGGCATTTTGGAAGCTCAGGCCCTTCCTTATCCTCTTTGCATCCTGGCTTGTGATATGAGCAGTTCGTTTCACCACATTCTCACCCCAATTGGTCACCTTTACAAGAGATGCAAGGCTATGGGAATATCTGATCTTAGACTGTGATCTTTAGAACTATGATCTAAAATAACATTTTTTCTCTTTTTTAGTTAACTGCCTCATGTATTTTGTTATAGTAGTGAAAGCTGACTAATCCAACACTGTAAGCTTTGTAATCCCTAAGACAAAAGTTGGAATCATACATAGAAGGGAAACTGTCAGTGAAATGAACATACATAGAGGAAACCATACAGGAGGACACTTCACCAATCCATGTGTCCAGAGTATTCCTGAGTCTGACTCAGATACCGTGTGGACTTGTGTGGACACATGATCCCATATAAAATTAATAGTTGTATTATATTCATTGATAATGTATAGACACAAGAATAATGTCATTTTAGTTTATTTTCTGTTGCTGTAGCAAAATACAGCAAATGGAGGAATTTATAAGATAAAAATTTATTTAGCCAGTTTAAAAAATATTTCATTTTTATTGCTATGTGTGCGCAGGACATAGTGATTACATACCTTGTGGTGAGTGAGTACATGCACATAATACATCTTAAGTCTTTTTTTCCATCTCTGTCCCCTCTCCTATGGTTTTGAAGGCTGGGAAATCCAGAGGTATTTGGTGTGCTGTGTTATAACATGGTGGAAAGTAAAAGAATGAGAGCAAGTGAGTGGACAGAGCAGGGCTGAGAGCCAGGTGCTTTCATCACAACGCACTGTCTTGGTAACCAACCTGCTCCTGTGACAGTGAAGTTGGTCTCACTGAAGCATTTCACTGCCCACTCTGGGGCTGTATTTTTAGCGAGAGGTACATCCTTTTTATTCTGTGATGAGGAGAAGCAGAGTTTAAAATATGAGAACTCTTTCTGCTTAAGCTTCCAAGGGAAAGACAGACTTTCCTCCTTTTGTGGATGAAAATGTTCCTAGGAGACTTAGAAATTGTTCAATTGTTCTACCTGATGAAGTACATGTTATAGAAAATGTTGGAGAAGAGGCCCTAGAAGCGAGGTCGGTGTGTGCTTGAGTGGAGGACAGAATATAATGATGCACACAGCTCCACATGCAAACCATACTGCCTTAAAATACATTCCCTAG